GGCATGCCAGGCTTACGGAGCAGAGTGGCACCAAGACAACAGCAGCTAATCACAACAGCTAATGTTACTTGCCCCAAAGATCCTACACACACCTTTTCAAATATGGTCTGAAGAGTTCTCTCCTCCAAAATGTTTATTGAAAAGAAATACAGACAAGCCATAGCTAAATTGAAAATACAACCAAATTGGTATCCTGCAATTTTATTGACAAGGCAAATAATCACAGTTATTGTCTTCAGGGTGGCCAACTGCCAGCCTATTGGTCAGATCTACTGCCTTTGCAAACAAATGCTGACTACCCTTCAAAGCTCTGGGATTTCTGGTAGGAGATATGATACCATGCTGTCACCCTACCCATCTTCCTGTCCAGACACCAAACACCAAAGCTGCTGAGAGGTTCCCTCTGCTGTGGGTTTGCATTCTGTACTCAGATGTTCATCAAGAGCCCAGTGTGGTTAAAACCACAGTGGGATGCTTTGGGAGACAGGCTTATCTAAAAACAGAGACAGAACCTACACAGCTGCCCAGGGGATTTCATCTTCCACATCTTCAGAAGTGGTATGACTGTTGACAGGCCTCTGAGTTTCCCATTAGGTTACCCAAGTCTCAGCAGTCCTTTCCAAAGCCAGCTATGAACCCGCTGTGGTATTTTGCTTGGTACTCAGTAGCTGTTGCCTGGGGCCTCAGCTCAAGACCAAACTGAGAACAGTCATTTGGCTACAGCAGCTTCCAGCCCTCATTTAAAGACATGACAGTCCCTCTCTCCTAAATAATCTGGTCTCAAGTGTTCTACGCAAAGATTCAGCTCAAGTTAATCATTCTGGGATCATTCACCTGAATGAATTTAGATTCATTCTAAATCCCAACTCTTTTAAGGGCAAGGGAAGTGCAGAAAGCATAAAAGGGCAGTAACAGTGCAGAAAGAATTGGAAGGAATACATTTTATGCCATGATTTTACTGACCTGGGTAGAAAAATGGAGCACCTGACCACAGTCTCTTGACATCCACAAGGTAATATATCAGCAACAAGAGAATGAAGGCAAAGCAGCTCATGGTTGTCACATACGATAGTGACCTACAACATTTTCAGGAGAAAGATTATTTAGAGAGCTACATGACAGAGACAGATCTCAGTATAAGAAAGATAAAACATTCTCCAAGGTAAAATAGTACTTTTAACAAAATCATACTGAAAGTTGTATCTCTTTGCTTACCATAAGTTCTTGTTTATGGGAATAAACCCTTCTTCTTTGGAACATTTTGTCAAGATAGCAGAAATAATTCCCTGAAATAGAAAGTTGCTAAAATTCATATAACCACGGCAACATGTTTCAGGAATACTAAGTGCATTGTGTAAAATACTTGTCTGTTAAAGAGCTATGTAACTACCTGACTTACCATTACTATGCTCCATATGAAGAACCGGCTCATAATTTGTTTGTGCTGGTCTCTGTAGAACAAGATAATTTTTCCTGCCTAATAGAAAAAGAATGCAAAAAAGTAATGCCCATAAATGTAACTACATTTCAAGAGACAGATACATTTGCCACTGGCTGGCTGTGCTAAGACAGAGAACACAAATAGCATTTGTAACAACTAAGTGGCTGAAAGGCTCAGAATGGGACTCTGCAAAGAATGGACATAGATGGGGAAAATGTGTAAGTACGAGCCACTCAGCAACACAAGTGCACCTTTTCTCCCTTCCCTCCTACATGAGCACAGGAAGGGGACAAGCAGCTTTGTAGGTTAACACAGCATGACTCAAGCTCCATCTCCCTCAGCAAGGATTGCGTGAAGGAAGAATAACACCATGTCAACTCCCCAGCCAGCCCCAACAGCTTCTCAGCAGCGCTGTGCCGCACCCTGGGCTGCTCAGAGCACACGCTTCTTTTCACACACCATAAGAAGTGTGTCCTGATGATTCAGTTCCTCAGTGTCACACTTCCATTCCAAGCTCTTCCCTGCAGAGATTCCAAATCAATTTCAACCCATTGCTACATGTGGTAACATTCTTTTCCTGGCAAGAGTTTCAGTGTGGTTAACAGCTGCTGCGCAGACAGAAAAGCCAGCAGTGACTAACTAGAACTGCATCAAAAAGCATCGTGATATCCTGTTAAAACACGGTGGTGAGCTGTGAGCTTTTGGTGTTGGTAACACTAGTGGGAACCCCTGCCTCCCGTGTGTCTGGGAAGGTGAGCACACCTGTAGCACCTCTGCACAGCCGGCTAACACTGCAGGGCAAGTGGAAAATTAGCAACAGAGAACAGGTACAGCTGGGACCTTTCAAACCGTACGTGTAAAATGAAGCTGTGAAGTCTGTGCATCTCTTGGCCCTGTTTTCCAACATGCAGAGCCAGCCTACTCCCAGCGTAAGCCCAACCTTAAAACAAGCAAAGGAAGTTTCCGGGTGGATATTTTGCAAACTTCTGGTGTCCATCCCTTACAAAAACTGAGAAGGAGTCTTGGTTTATCTAATACAAGCTACTGCCAGGTTAGAATCCACTTCTCTGACATTCACCTCAGGCTAAGTCAGCCTGAAAGCATTGCTCTGGAAAAGGTTTTGTTAGAACCAGTCTCAGCCTTAAATAAAGAAACCAAGTTGCCTCCCCACTTCCAAGATTCCTTCAGATCTTCCCATTATAGCACACAGACAGAAAGCAAAGAGGTACCTGCAGTCCCAGAAATGCCATAAAAATTGTATTTATGGTCCCCAGGATCCCTTCAGGATCGTATGGCATCGTTGTTTGGTAAATCACCTTAGAGAGAAAACAGTTGTTAAGAGGGCACCTGAGCAACCAATCTCCTTTCTCTTCCATCCCCCTGCATGTACCATTCCCAAGCCCCTCCTGCCTGCTATGTTCAGTGCTTGCCTGTGGCTTCATACTGTAAATGAGAAGCTACTTACACTTGAAGAGGGATGCTGATATATGTGCTTTTCTCCAAGAAGCAAACGATCAATGTACCCAGCCGCTCCTCCAGTGCAGTTGGGATAGTTTCCAAAGTCTCCAATGCCCCCAGGACCAAGATAGCCCCTAGGACAGAAGCAAGCAGGTTATGGCACAAAGTGTTGGTACGCTCCACCACGGGCCCAGCACACTGAACACTCAGTGTTTTTCCTGGCCAGAGGCACACAGTGGAACACAGATCCTACATGACAGCTGGCTGGTGGCCACCCTGTTTTATCATTGCAGTGCCATGAGCAGCTGGGTCATGAGGGGACAGGCAGTATCAGGAGCCTAAAGCAATGCTTCAGTTCAGCCCTGGCTACCCAGCCGGCTGCTCCACCTGCTCTGCAGGTGCTGTCCCTTTAAAGGGGCAAAGAGAGAGACAGGGGTGACACTGCCATGTACATCGCATACATAGCTGTACACAGACCTCAGGGAGATTTTAATCCTCTTCTTTAAACAGAAAGGAACAATGATGTCACCATTATAACACCAGGTACTTTAGTACTAAAGCAAAGAAAGCTTGCTTTTTTTTCACATCATGAATGCTTCCCTTAACCCCGCTGGCCTAAAAGCTCTCCTCTTCATTCCTTCCCTATGGCTAATAAAATGTATTTTCTACTCAGCAGAAGAAAAACAATCTGATGCCCTATAGAAGTCTGAGT